GATTTGACCGTTTCAGGCAATTTTTAGTTCATCAGTTGACTGAGTAGATAATCAGTCGACTAATGAGGTCATCAGTCGACTGGTCAGTCGACCAAATAAGAAACAGAAACTTTTTAAGATTCTAACGGGTTTCATCAGTCGACTGATTACGATTTTTCAGCCAGTATTGGTTTTTGAAAATGAGTTTCAAATGTATTTTAAAAATAGTAAATAAATTCTAAAAAATGTGAAACTTTGGAAATATTTTATAAACATAGTAACAAACTTGTTTGAAAAGGAATTTTGTAAAAAGGTCCTTGTTTTTATGAAAATCATTATTTTAGCAAAAATATCAAAATACGAGTATTGAAAATATGAAAGTGTGTTATTCCAAGAGCTTTAAATGTAATCAACAACCAACTTGCCTACATTAAGTAGTAGGGATAAAATAAAATAGCAAATATCCCTCACATAAAAGTATATGGCTTGAGTCTTGATATTTGCTTCTATGTTGATGAAGCTTCTCATGTATATAGTGCTCTTTGAAAGCTTTACTTCATCACTTTGCCTCCACCTCCTTAGATATCGTTGTTGTAGCCCATATTCCATCCACTCCTCCAATAATGGTATTTGTAAACCATCATCAAAACAAAAAGGCTAACAATCTCTCCCTTTTTGATAATGACAAACAACCATTATTCAAGAGCAAATAAAATTGATTATTTTACTTATAGATAGTTGCTCCTCTTATCTATAAGGTTCCCCCTAACTATGTGCCACAAATGAGAAATCTCCCCCTTTGTCGCCATCAAAAATAGGGTAAAAATATAATATGCATGACAAAACCCACACAATACACCTCAAGTGTTGGCCTACCCGTGCCACATTCCTCAAGCGTTAGGAATTACTAACTCCCACTAGGCTTTACTATCAACCCTACTCCTCTTGGAATTGACTCCGGTCTCTCACCTCTACACTCCTCTTGGTACCCGTGTGTGCTTAAGCATGGTATGACATTGTGGATCAAGAGGTCTCTCACCTCTACACTCCTCTTGGTACCCGTGTGTGCTTAAGCATGGTATGACATTGTGGATCAAGAAAAGAATAGATATGACAATGGTAAAGGTACCCGTGTGTGCTTAAGCATGGTATGACATTGTGGATCAAGAAAAGAATAGATATGACAATGGTAAAGCGAAGAATCATAGCAAGCAAAAATAGGTAAAAAAATATTTTTTAAAGAATGCACATGCCTAATTCATTTCTAATACGGCAAAAATTAACTTCACAAAGTGGTTTGGTAAAGATGTCTGCTAATCGAGATTTTGTGTCAATATAAATAAGAGAAACATCTTTCCTTTCAATATGGTCACACAAGAAGTGATGACGTACATCTATATGTTTGGTTCTAGAATACAAAACAAAATATTTTGAAATATTGATAGCACTAGTATTGTCACAAAAAAAAATTTATGTCATGAAAATGCAAATCAAAATCAACCAAATTTTGTTTCATCCATAAAAGTTATGCACAACAGAAGCTGGCGATAATGTATTTCGTTTCCGTAGTGGACAAGACAACACAATTTTGTTTCTTGGATGCCCAAGATACAAGAGAGTTACCCAAAAATTGACAAGTACCACTCGTACTCTTACGGTCCACCCTACAACCGGCAAAGTCGGCATCACAATAACCACAAAAATCAAAAGATATTTTGTTAGGATAAAATAAACCAAGTTCTAAGGTGTCATTAATATATTTGATAATTCTTTTAACCGTAACTAAATGAGACTTTTTAGGAGAGGCTTGAAAACGTACACATGCACAAACACTAAACATGATATCCGGCCTACTAACGATGAGATAAAGGAGACTACCTATCATATCTCGATATAGCTTTTGGTCTACCTTTTCACCACTATCATCCACATCCAACTTGATGGTAGTGCTCATTAGAGTTAGGGCATGTTTGGAGTTTTCCATCCCGAATTTTTTTACCAACTCCCTAGCGTATTTGCTTTGCGACACGAATATGTCATCATTGGATTGTTTAACTTGGAGGCCGAGAAAGAAGGTGAGCTCTCCCATCATGCTCATCTCAAATTGATCTTGCATTACTTTAGAAAAGTCATTGCACAAAGATTCATTAGTGGCACCAAAAATAATATCATCCATATAAATTTGAACTAAAATAAAATCATTTTTCCATTTTCTAATAAAAAGAGTATTATCAATTGTTCTTTTTGTAAAACCATGTTCAATGAGGAAACTTGAGAGGCGAGCATACCAAGCTCTAGGAGCTTGTTTTAACCCATATAAAGATTTTTGAACCCGGTATACATGATTTGGGAAAGAAGAATTAATAAATCCAGGGCGTTGCTCAACATAAACATCTTCTTCTATAAAACCATTAAAAAAACACTTTTGACATCTATTTGAAAAAATTTAAAATTTTTAAAATTAGCAAATGCTAAAAACATCTTAATGGATTCTAATCTTGCAACCGGTGTAAAAGTTTCATCATAGTCTATATCCTCCTCTTGATTGTATCATTGGGCAACTAAACGAGCTTTATTCCTAGTAACTATGCCAAACTCATTAAGCTTATTTCTAAAAACTCATTTAGTTCCAATAATAGAAGTATTATTTGGTCTAGGAACTAATTTCCAAACATTATTTCTTTGAAAATTATTCAATTCTTCATGCATAGCTAAAACCCAATACTCATCTTTTAAAGCATTATCAATACGTTTAGGTTCTTGGGATAAAAACACTACATTACCACATTCGCTCATAGCTTTTGAGCGAGTCAAAACACCTTTGGATGGATTTCCTATAATTTGATCTTTGGGATGATCCGGTGTAAATTTCCAAGCCTTGGGGAGTTCTTCTTGATTTTGTTCATTTTTGCTTTCCCCATCATTTGGTGCTTTCGTTGAAGGTTTGTCATTTAGTTGCAAGAGCTTCATTCCTCCCTCAATCTCATCATCATCATCCCTAGGCAAACCATATTGCAAACCAATATTAGATTCATCAAAAGTAACATTTATAGACTCTTCAACAACGAGTGTTCGCTTATTGAAAACTCTATAAGCCTTACTTCTAGGTGCATATCCCAAAAACATACCAACATTAATTTTTGAATCAAACTTATCACGGTGGTCTTTAGTATTTAAGATAAAACATTTACAACCAAAAATACGAAAATATCCAATATGCGGAGTTTTGCCAAAAAAAGAGTTCATAAGGAGTTTTCTTGAAAGTAGGTCTAATCAAAACACGATTTAAAACATGGCAAGCCGTATTGACAGCTTTGGCCAAAAAATATTTTAGCAGTACAAAAGAGTTTATCATTGTGCATGTCATCTTTTGTATGGTTCTATTTTTTCGTTCAACAACACCATTTTGTTGGGGTGTTCTAGAAGCAGAAAACGCATGTGTTATATCACGATGAGCACAAAAACTATTAAAACATTTATTTTGAAATTCACCACCATGATCACTCCTAATTTTAACAACTTTCAAATCTTTTTTATTTTTAATTCTTTTTACAAAATGAGAAAATTCTTCAAAACATTTCTTTATTTTCAAGAAAAATTACTCATGTAAAACGTGAGAAATCATCAACAATGACAAAAACATAGTGTTTACCTCCTAGAGAGGCAACACGCATGGGTCCAAAGAGATCAAGATGTAATAATTATAAAGGTTTAGAAGTGGATACCTCGTTTATGGATTTGAAGGAATTCTTATTTTGTTTACCTTTAGCTCATTCCTCACAAGAAGAATCCTTAATATAAGTTAAATTTGGTAGTCCTCTTACTAGGTTCTTCTTAAAAATAGCTTAGATATTAACTCTATATTAGCATGTCCATGTCTCTTGTGTCAAATCCAAGGATCCTCATCCATCGCGGGATAACACTTTACATCTTGATCTATTAGCTCATTCATCTCAAAAATATAAACATTAGATCTTCTAAAAGCAACAAAAATAATGTTATCATTCATACTAATAATACATTTACCGGTTTAAAAGAAATATCAAAGCCTTTATCACTTAATTGACTAATGCTAAGAAGATTATGATTTAGTCCTTTACCAAAAAAAACATCATCAATTATGGTAGAAGGTATCTTATCAATACTATCAATACCTATAATTTTATCTTTCTCACCACCACCAAAGGAGACATTGCCTCCTTCAATCCTTGATAGGGTTGTAAATAATTCTTTGTTGTCCGTCATGTGATGTGAGTAACCACTATCAAGGTACCACAACTCCTTACGTCTTGTGCGATACGTTCCCTACATATGAAGAAGTTGTACAGCCTTTAGGAACCCAAACTTTGGGTTCTTGAATGTTAGTATTTTTTGTACCCTTGGGTACCCACATTAAATCATATTCCTGTTCCGATTGGATAGTAAAATCTTTTCATTATTTGGGATATTTTGAGCGCGGATATTATGTGCGATCAGATAAGGTCGCATCATTTGTACCCTACTTGGTAGTGTAGTAATTTCTGTTGAGAAAATTTACATTTGTTATCACATGGTTAGAGAACAGAAAGGTTTTCTCAAATGAGTCATATTATAATTCAAAATCTTGCATTGTGTCGCCAAAAAATGCAGAATTTTTCTTTATTATTGACTAAAAATGCTGAAAAAAGATGTTTACTAGATGATGATGAAGAATACTTCGCAATTGAAAGAGAGGGAACATGCAGTAAGGGGATGCATCACATGGGATATTGAGAATAGCCTAGGGGATATGAGATATTAGATGTTAAGCTAGTAATAATCATGTGTTAGTGTAATAAAACCATTCTGTGCCCAAAAAGAAAGGAACTATAAAGGCATTAAAATTTTCAATAAAGGTTCCAAAGATTTGCCTTCAAGCGTCAACTTATATTACAATCTTGTAGAATTTTGAATGTTTTACAAGAAAAAGTTAGTGTTATGAGGATATCTTTAATCACATAGTTCCTTGATAACTAACCATTAAAAGAATGAGAAAAATACCATCACCATAAATTCTTACACGAGCAAGAGCCATCCTTAAAATGGTGAAACCTCACACTATCCCTCACCGTAATACACACACCAATACTCTTTGCCATAAAGCTTATAACACCATGACAATCTCCACATATCCTCAAGTTCTTGAAAACCCTAATAACCTCTCCTCTATCCAAATTCAATATCGCAAATGCAACCGCAAGCTTCTCGCTGTGGCTACACAATACCTCCTCCTTCTCTTCACCATCGACATCCTGCAAGACGATATCTGTATCGGGCATATACCCTTCAACCCTCATCTTTCGTCTCGTCTCTTTGAGAAAACCATAAACCTCGTTTCTCATTGCAAACCTATCGTCTCCTTTAACAAATGTATACACCTTGTTCTTTATCTGAACCCAGCTACACCCTGGTTCTTTTCTGATTCCTCTATCGTTCATCAACATTCTGATTCTTGAAGCATCATCATACATTTTCGCACCAACAAAAATGTTCAAAAGTGATAAATAATTTCCGGGATTCTGTGGTTCGATATCCAACAATACTTCACCCGCAATTTTCCCTAACTCCGTGTTTTTATATACTTTACACCCATTGAGTAACGCTCCCCAAGCGCTTGGTGTAGGTTCTACCGGCATATTTTGAATGAACTCATATGCTTCATTTAAATATCCGGCTCTACTCAATACATCAACCATAGAAGCATAATGGTCAGCATCAGGATTGAGCCCATACTCTCGTTCCATTGAGCTAAAGGACTGTCGAGCTTTATCGACAAGCTGAGAATGGCTACAACCCGATAACACCCCACTGAACGTGACTGCATCCGGTCTAATGCCAGACTCAATCATCTTATCAAACAATGTTAGAGTTTCCTTGCCACAACCATGCATTGAGTTAGCCACAATCATCGTGTTCCAAGCAATGATATCTTTTCTAGGCATTTGATCAAACACGAGTCTAGACGTGTTCAAGTCGCCACATTTCGCGTACATAAGAACAAGGCCAGTATCAATAATGATATCTTTAATAAAAGCATTTCTGTACACATATCCGTGGATCTCTCTTCCCCCTCTTATACTTTCCATACCGGTACAAGCTGGCAATATAGAAGCTATCGTGATGTGGTTAGGTTTTGTACCTGAATCTTGCATTTGAGCAAAGAATTGCAATGCTCGCTCAATCCTCCCATTTTGCACACACCCGCTGATCATTGAGTTCCATGACGCCGAATTCAACAGAACTCCATCGACTTTCATCTTATCAAAGAGTCTCAATGCCTCGTCTAAATCTCCATTCAAAGAATACGCTGATAATATAACATTCCAAGATACAACATCCTTTGATCTCATGCCATCAAAGACTATTCTAGCATCATGGGTAATCAAACATTTTGAGTATATGTCCACTAGCCCACTACCGATAAACATATTGTCTTCGAACCCGTTTCTTATCACAAAACAATGAATCTCTCTTCCAAATTTTAAACTTTTCAACTTCGAAGAAATCGCAAGAACAGACAAAAGAGTCACCGAATTCAATTTAGGCCCGGATATCAACATTTCACGAAAAACACCCAATCCTTCTCTAAATTGCTTGCAGTTCTTATAACTCAAGATCAACGAAGTCCAAGTGATCACATCCTTTACAGGCAATTCATCAAACAATTGTTGGGCTTCACTAATGAGCCCACATTTTCCGTACATTTCAATCAATGCATTGCCTAACGGTAGGTCTGATTTGAATCCAAACCCAATAACATCTTTATGAATCTCTTTAGCTTTGATAGGATCAGATAAGAGTGCACATGCCTTGGTAATCGATAGTAGAAGCAAGTTATCGGGTTGTAGCTTCTTCTCTTTTCGAAGATTTTGGTAGAGTTGGATCGAATCTAGCGGGCGATTTTGTTTGGTGTAGGCTGAGATTAATAGGGTTGAAGAGTAAATGTTTGGGTTGGGAATTTTATCGAATAGGTTGCGCGCTTGGTTGAGTTGGCCGCAGTTCAGGTAGGATTTGAATTGGCCAATAAAGCTGGCGGGCATTTTGGGGAGAATTTGATTCATATTTTGCACTTTGTTTAGAAGTTTCAGAGGTTTCAGAGAGGACCGCAAGGCGAGGGCATTTTCTGTAGCTGACTCGGGTAGCTACTGCAGCGAAGGAGAGGCGAGCCCGGTGTGGGATTCAAGAGGGGTTTGGATCGGAGCTAAAGGTTTCTATAATGAGGGGTGTTAGGCACACACCATTGGGCACATCACCAACCACACTCCTCCTCTATCTACAGTGCAGGGGCCCCACATGTGATTTTTTTTAAAAAATCACATGTGGGGCCCTGCACTGTAGATAGAGGGAGAGTGTGATTGGTGGTGTGTCCAAGGGTGTGCCCCTATCATTTCTTTTCTTTTTTGAGAATAGGTCAAAATGGCTTGTCAGTCAATTTTATGTCTTATAGGCCACTAGGACATATTTGGCAAACACCTTTTTGGTGGCATATAAACCGTATAGTTCGACCAAGTAAAAGATTACTATACCTCTAAACATTTACGAATATAAGTCACTAATTTGTCAAACATTCCACTATTATAAACAGAATATACTCCACTAAGTTAACCAAACACTTTGAATTATATCCACATGAATTATTAGCTATTTGCAAATTATAAGCTAACTGGATTATAATCTAAAGTTGCAAATAAGGCCTTAGTGCCTCCACATCTTTCATATTTTGTAAGTAGTCCCCCAAATCTCTAACTATTTCGAATTAGTCCCCCCAAATCTTCTTATTTTGAAATTAATTTCTCAAATCTGTATAAGTATTTTGAAATTAGTCCCTCAAAATTTTCAACCTTGAGCTAACTAGAGGGATTAAATTCAAAACACTTAAACGATCAGAGGGAATAATTTCAAAATATAAAGATCTGGGGGGATTAATTTCAAAACAATTAAAATTTTAGGGGGCAAAATTTAAAATATTAAAAATTGGGGAACTAATTCAAAATATGAAATATATGGAGAACCAATGTAGGGGGGAAAAAACTCGTTTTTGAAAGTGAGGAGTGAACAATTCTCACAAATCGAAAAGATACTCGATGATACAGAAAATGAATCAAGAAATCATGTACCACACACAACGTGGATTCTAAAGTTAGATTACTCATTTTCATTTTCTAATAATGCGAATTAGCAGGTTGGTCTAGCGGCTCAATCAGATATCATAACTACAATAATCTTATTTTATTGACTGCTTAATTGGATTTAATATAACCCAACTTCAAATATTAGTTTTTTGCGTGTCTGTTGACAAAACTCTTAATCTAATTATTCTTGCCCATCAAACAAATGCCACATAAATTTTTTTGTTCCGTAGAAAAAGAAAAAATGTTGCCCACCCGCATTTCTTATGGTTATTAGGAACAGGACAGGTGGCATATCCCAACCCGTTGTTTTTAATAACTAAACTACAACCATCAAAAGTGGACATATGAGATGCGCATCTAAGAGCATCTCCAACAGCTTTTCTAAAATTTTCTCCAAAATGGGGAAGCAAAAGCCATATTCTCTAAATTATTTTTACACCAACTCCAACAGCTTTCCAATTTTGAAGAATCCATTTTTTCCTCCAAAAATTTGGAGAATGCTGCAGATTTGGGGAAGCTTCCCCATTTTTTCTCCTCCATCCCTATTTTGGGGAATGAGATGAGGAATCTGTTGGCCCATTTTTTCTCCTCCATCCCTATTTTGGGGAATGAGATGAGGAATCTGTTGGACCAAAAACCTAACTATATTCTCCAAAAGTGGAAAATGAAGAAACTGTTGGAGATGCTCAATAGGTCTGAATCAAAATCCTATTCCTAAAATAGTAGCGGCTTTAACTTCGACTTCCAGTGGTCCCAATTCAATTGCTCTCTGATTTGGGCCCAGTCTAACATTGTTTTTGTATGGTGATTTTTTTTTAAGAAGCAACCAATAATGTTATATGGTGAATTTTTTTTAATATGTTTGCTGAAACTGGTTCTTCTTTTTTAAGGGGCGTTTTTAGAAGTAATCTTAGGATGTTTTTAAAAGTATCTTCTATTTTTTTTAGTTTATATATCATATATACATTTAATCGTTTAACAATGATCGTTAAGCACAATTCTATCAAATACCTTAACTTGCTTTTTAAGTAATTTTTGATATTTTATTATCAAATAGCTATTTATATTTATATATTACTTCTATAAGCTATTTTTATAATTAATTTATTATAAGCTCTAGTAATACCAAATTAGCCTTAGTAAATTGGATCCAATTGACTTCCCAACTAAAGAGTAATAACAACTAAACCAAATGTTTCGTTAATGTCATAAACAGCTCAAGTAATGAAAAGGAGCCACTCGAAGATATTCTTGCAATCATGGGACCCAATTTCAAAAATAAGGTCCATTTGGCAATCTCTAACAATTGTATCAGTTTCACACATGGTCTAATCTGGAGAAAAACTTTATTTTGAAAAAAAAAAAAAACCTAGATCAAAGCTAACCCAATTCTCTCTTGGCCAAATAAGAGCAATTCAATTGGTTCTGTTTTGATCCACCTCTTCTCGGGATTAAAATATAACCAATTTAACTCAAAATTAGGCTAGAACTAACTCTAACCCAATTTTGTTGAATTTTCCAAAAGGAGCCTAAAGATTTGATAGCTAAAATGAAGATTTGATAGCTAAAATATTTTTAGAATCCTACTATCTAAATATTGAGGGACAGTTGGTTAGGGACCGACTTGGGCACTTGGCACTTGTGACACGAAAGAAATGGGCCAAATTTAAATCCGACTACCGGATACTCTGCATACTGAAGTCTGAAAGAAAGTGAAGAGGATAGTAAGAAATAGTATTGATGAAGAACATATGCTCCAATATGATTAGCAAGATAAAACTAGCATAATCTATCTTTGTTAGATTTTAAAAAAAAATGAAGTGGCACCTTAAATTCATTTTCCAAAAAAACATATATGCAAAAAATTATTATAAACTGAGAACTCATTTTACAGAACACACTATCACAAGATAAATTTTGTGAAATCCATGATACTAAATATACCGATGCAGATGAATCTCACTACTAACTTTCAAGTCCATTTTGTTAAAAAAAATACAACATACAATAAATGTTTGGTTGCAACTTTTTACATGAAAATGGTAGAAAGATGTTAAACGTAGGTGGGATTCAAAATTTAAAATTTAAAATTTACTCTGTTTTGTTGTCTATATACATTGATGAAGTGTCACCCAAAATGATACGGATGTATCTTCCCTCTGCTTCGGGAGCTTAGCGATCTTTATGGAAGCTTGAGGATAGATGATTCTCATGGTAGCTTGAGCATAGAGACGTGGGTGGAGCCGTTGGTGTCGACAAAAGAAGTCAAAAGCAGTAAAACAGGGAAAATCAGGGATATGGAGTTCAGGCGCTGGCCGGTCAACCGCATGCTCAACACCAGTTGACCAGTTTCGTGCACACTATAGGGTGAGGATTCGTACGCTATGGCTGGTCGACCGGGATGCACTTGGCGGTCGATCGGATGTGGTTCCGACGACAAGGTTACAACCCTTTCTCTGGCCGGTCGACCAAACCAAGCAGGTCGGTCGACCGGATCAGGTTTCCTGAGTTGTTTGTGACTCTTTTTGACGCGTTTCCTGGTTTGTTTGGACTTGTTTATTTACAATATTGCCATCCATGTTGTTAGAGATATAAATAGGATTGTTTTAGGGTTTCTAGGCAATCAGATTGTATTCAAAGATAATAGAGAGATTGTTCTTTATTCTAGTGAGATTGTGAGAGAGAGATTTACAATCTATTAATACTCATAATCTAGAGAAGGTATTTTTATTTGTCAACTGAATTGTTCTTGTGTTTTCTATTGTTTTTCTTCCCAACTCACCTTTGGTAATTCCGCGATCAAAGGTGCTCACATGGCGACTCGTACCAAGTTGGTATCAGAGCGATCAAATCCTGTGAATGGGAATCCTGTGTATGGTCCTTACTCGATCGCAGTACAAGAAGCTAGGCGAGATTCTTATTTCCTTGGAATAAATCTAGAAATTAAGGAAGAAGAAGATGATAAAAAGTGACAATTCAACAAGGCTTGATGCGTTGGAGAAACAAATTGAAACAATCAGGTCGACTCTCACACAACTTGTCGATCTCATCCATGAGGGAACAAAAAGGGAGAATCTTCTTCGAAGTCCAAGAAGAAACCTGTAGAGTCCGATGGAGAGAGTGAAGATTCAGATTCCGACGAGGAGGTCGAGACCGTCAAGACTACTCCACATCAAGGGGGTAAGGGTCCTTACCAAAATCTATAGATTGATTTTAGAGTAGAGATTCCTATTTATGATGGAAGTGTGAATGTCGAAAGGCTTGATGATTGGATTGAGCGTATGGAGACTTATTTTACTCTTTATGGCTACTAGTCGAAAGAAAAGATCATTTTTACGACATTGAAGCTTTCAAGGCATGTGTTGACATGGTGAAAATCCTATTGCAAGCAAGAGAAGAAGACGGTGTCGTGGAATAAGTTCAAGAAGCTACTGAGGAAGCAATTCTACCATGTAGAATTCCTTAAGGAGCATTGGTACAAATGGTACAGCTTACGCCAAAAGATTCAATCAGACCATTCAAGAATACATGGAGTTCCAGCAACAAGCGATGGTCCTCAACATAAAGACGGAGGAATACTCAGTTTTTATGAAGTATATGGCGGGACTGACTGAAAACATTCTGAAGGAGATGAAGCTGCTCACAGTCAAGTCCATTGCAGAAACGAGTGTGAAGGCTATTACCATTGAGGGCAAACAGAAAAAGAGCAACGAGATGAAGGGAGATTCCAAGCAACTTGGAGGCAAGTCTAGTGGCTCTCAACCTAAGAAAGAGAAGAAGAAGGGTGATCAAGTGAAGGCAGGATTGACTTGCAATTACTGCAAGCAGACAGGACACGCAGCTGATCGGTGCTGGAAGAAGTATCCTCATTTGAAGCCGAAGGGGTTAAAGAAGAAGGAGGATAAAAA